TGGCTATCCATCATACACCCCTATGTGGATAACACTTTGAAAACCATAGCAGCAATACTCTTAAGATTATGACACTATTCATAATTACAGGGTTGGCCTGTAACACCCCACAGTGCCCCCATGTGGTGCTTTATAGAGCTTCCGAATACTAGGCGTCTTGAGTCCCACTTTTCATTTTGGGTACTTGCTGACTCAGAACATACTGACCATTTCTGACCATTACTCAGACCAGTACAGAGTGGAGAGGCTGAATAAAGCCCTAAAGGTATTGTGTAATTTATGCTAAAAATAAGAAGAAGAAGAAGAAGAAGAAGAAGAAGAATAACATGTCTGAGATCATGGGGATGGCAGGTCATGCATTCTAAATAACTTGGTACAACAGTTGCATTCTCTGTCTGCACCCCCCTCAGCTACTATGGTATGCTTTCAATGTATCTGTCTCTCTCCTTGTCTTTCGTGGAAACTGGGAGGGACAGAATCATGTTGCATGCTGACCTCTCTTCACCATGTCTGCCTGAGTGTTTGTGATACCCCAACACCTCTTAGAGACAGGAATGTTTGTTGTAGAGTAGCAGGCAACATCACGCAGTAAACCTATCCATCAGACACCCTGACCACTCCAGACATGTGTCAGGCTATCAATAAATGAGGAAAACAGAATTTTATCTCTAGAATAGAATTATTATACTACTGACTAACTAGACTAACCCATTCAGTCCACAAGTCCAAACATATCTGAGGCAGATAAACAGAGGTGTACAATGCTGGTGACAAAAGTGGACTTCACGAGGACTGTTACTACTGCTTTGCAATATATTTTACCTCTTCCTAGAAGTGTCTATAAACTTAAAACAGAAAAGGATTTCCTGGAACACATACACTATTTCCATTGTCTGGGCATTGACAGAGGATGGTCGTGTCAGTCATGATCAGACTATTCGAGCTAAGACATGAGTGGTGTGATGCCAGGGCATGCCAAAAGAGTTTTCAAAAGCTGACATGCTCAGGTGGTCAGGTGGAGTTACTACAGAACATTCTTACACCTCACAGAAATAATATTTTGGAGAGTAGTGAAAAACATAAAACTCACTATTTAAATATGTTTTCAGCTGTATCCATTGCAAAGCACTCAACTCAACTACCACTCAAAATTACCAAATGCTTATTTTTAAAAAGTGTTTATCACTTAAAACAAGGTGAAGCTCCTTCATGAATCTGGTGGAAAAGATGTCAGATATGAAATAGTTTTAATTTTACTCTTTTCTTGGCCACTGCATAATTCCATATGTGTTATTTCATAGTGTTAATGTCTTCTTTATTATGCTAAAATAATTATATACTAAAAAATAGTGTGCTGCAACACAAGGCTTATTGAAGGAGAAATCTTATGGTCCATCAGCATGCTGCTCATGGAGATCTGTGATGTGGGTTTACAAACTGTCTGTGAAGCTCCGTGTGTCTTTGAGGCAAATTACTGTGAGTGATCAGGCTAAAAGACCAGTTAAGGGAAACGGTTGGCTGTTATGATGCTTGGAGATTTGTGTTAAGACATATTAAAATATAAGTTAAGACATATTAACAGATATGTGGGGGTGGGTCTTTGGCTGTACTACGTTCAGGTACGATGATGTTTGACAAAACATATCATACAAGGTCAAAATGTTCTGCCAGTTAAAACCTGACAGCTCTGGCTGTAAATTACTGTTAGATACTAGTAGAGGACTTCCAAGGTGACTCAGGAGCCACTCAATAACCTCATGTTTTATATTGTTTTGTCTCTTAAAAAATTTCTCTCCTCTCCACAGGGCTGAGCAGCCAACCCCTCTCTTAGCTCCTGTTCTTCCTTTGACTGTGCCACAGAGGAGTTCACCTTCCTTTTCCTTAAGGGCCTTGCAGGCAGTCACTCCCCTTGCCTGCTTCCCTCTCACAATTGCCATTATGTTGCAGTTAGGGCAAGGCTCTATAAGTGCTTGTCAAAGATACTCCGGTCATGAGCAATTTGGGCCTCGATCATATCCATTGTACAACTCCGTCGGGGGGCTTCGCAGCACAAACAGCTCACCACTGTGCCCTGAGATTATGAAATTGGAAAAGATTGGGGGAAAAACTTCAACAATTCACAAGGAGCTAGAATTTATGAACTTGTAAAATTTTTCCACGTCTATTGCCGTAGTAGCAACCATGGTTTTATTCTTGAAAACTGTAGTTTTTTTTTTTTTTTTTTTTTTTTTTTTAGCTTTATCTGTTTCAAGCTGTAGATGGCAGAGTGTAGTAGTATAAACTTAAGCTTAGACTTACAGAGAGTGAAGAGAAAAGGTTGTTTCCTTACACCACAGCTGAGAAGCATACATTAACAATCTGTTTTTTTATTAAAGAAAAACTAAATAAATCATTAAAACCTGGAAGGTTAAAAACAACTAAAAGGTGAGATTTTACCATAGTCTAGATTGTCTGGATTGTTCTAGGTTCAATCCAGAGCTCGAGTTAAAGTCTGTATGGAGTTTTGAATGTTCTGTGCATGGGTTTCCTCCATATTTATCTGGTTTCCTCCCTCCTTCCTCCCAAAAACATTCTGGTAGGCGGACTGCCTATGCTAAATTGCCCCTTGGTGTGATTGTGTTTGTATGGTGCACATGAACTGACGTCTAATTCAGGGTGTATTCCTTCCTTGCACCCAGTGTTCCCAGGATAGTCTCCGGCTCCACCTCCACCCTGACCAGGATAAAGCGGTTACTGAAGATGAATGAATGCTTTGAATGGAGCAGCTGTAGTGTAGCATTGCTTGTACACTTTTCAAAAACAAGTTGTCCTCAAGGGGTCATATGATGGTTCTCACTTGCTAAAAGGGTTCTACTTTGGAACCTTTTATTTAAAAAAAAAAAAAATCTGTTGTCAGGTTCTATATCAAATCTTTAAGGGACAAACTGAAGAAACTTATGGATTGGAAGAGCCTTTTTTCTGGGTGTAGCCTCTAGCTGCAGTACTATAATAGACCTGCAGATGGCAGAATTTAAACAGTTTACTGTTCTAAAAGCACAGTTTGCATTTCTCAAATGTCAAGCATTATCCTGCTAAGGTATTTAGAATATGCAAAAATAAATTCACTGAAAGTACAAAAAAGTGACTGCCTTAGACAATTGTAATGACAAATTGTTAAACTGAAGAAGCCAGCAATATTAAACACTAATGTTTAATGAGACACTCACAGCCTTTAAAACCCCAAAATGTACATCTAACTGCAGGTAATTGCTACAAATGCAAATTAATTTTCATAAGAAATTAGTTATTAGATTATTTCCTTCAACTTATAACTTCAACATGTCTGTAACCTGTATGTTCATTTAGTGTGAAACTCTAAAGTAGGAATGTATTTCTATAACAGCTATCATGCGTGTGTAACCCTGTATCTCACAATGTCACTCATAGAGAGAGGACTTGGCATACAGCCCAAGCCACATGGATACACAGAGGATCAACACACACATTGATCCTGACATCTAAGATTGAGGACACAGCTACTATTGTGGTCTCAGCTACAAACCACAGACTCAACGTACAATACAGATGCTTTTGAAACAACTTGTGTTATGACTGTGCTCCCTCTGAGACACAGAGACATTCCAGACTTTAATAAATGTTGCCTCTGATTCAGATGTGTTTCACTGTAATTCACAACAGATGGCTATCATCTATCATATACATTGATATAAACATAATGTATCATCCAGTATAATGGATATAGGTGTACTATTACATAACCATGTACTGCCTCACGTAATGTTCTTCCAGGTATTTATGAGTTTCATATTGCCTCTTCTACTCCCGTTAAATGCTCGTAAAGCTCTGCTTTAAAATTCTGCTCTGATAACACACACATTTGTTCAGGCTTAAACTGATGTGTAATGGTTGTTTTTCATCAGAAAAGTTAATTACAGATCAGTGAGAGCACATTTAATAATGATTATTTGTTCTGTCCCTGAGGTTAACATAACTATCTATTCTGTGTGAGACTGTAATTACAGGGTTGATCAATTCAGTTTTTACTATGGCCTTCAGATCAAGTGGATACATCATTTTAGAGTTGTGAAAATCACAGAAAAGCAGTTTTCAGTTTGTTGGGCATAATAATAACAGCAGTACTGCATTTACAGGCTGAAGTAGGCAAAACAGGGTTGCAAATGAACAAAAGAGAGGGTCTGTGTTTTATGTTTCTCAGCATGATCCATTTAACATGTCGTGTGCGCAGCATTATATATGAACATGTTCCTGCCCAGCATTTCTACATACACTCTCTCTTTGTGCTAAGTAATAGCATCTGCCTTTGTGTCAGTCAGTTGGTGACATTTGGCCCAGGATTTACTGTCTCTATTTCATCAGTGATCATAATCCAGGGTTGAGCTGGATATGTAGATTTTCCCGTGTAATAGAGCAGAGTATATAATCCAAAAGCCTAATGTATCCTGCAAGAGATTTAGCTTCTGAAATGCTATGTTACTCCTGGGGGGGGGGGGTTGTGATATGGCACATGCTGTGATTGGATCTGTATCTTT